GGCCTTCAAGAGCTAGCAAGTGGAGTGGGTGGTAGCTAGCCCAAATGACCGTCTGTATGAGCCTGTCAGGCTGCTGGGCTGAGCGGGCAGTGATGGTGTGTGTCCTTCAAGCAGAAGAACACAGAGGGCTAAGGACGGGGTACATCCCCTCGGCTTCCTCCTGGTCCTTCAACAGAAGCTTTCCTGAGCTGCACAGCAGGGATGCTGGGTACTTACTGGGTGGTGAGGATCCAGCTTGAGAATTTAAGCAAAAGCTGGTGTCAAAAAAAAAAAAAAAAAGAAAAAAAAAAAAAAAGGAAAAAAAGAAAAGTTAAATAAAGAAAAGAAAAAAGAAAAAAGGCATTTCCAGTCCATTCAGACCGTAGTGGCTTATAAAAAAGGGGTGGGGCAGCAAGATGGCTCAGTGAGCACAGGCACTTGCTGCCAAGGCTGACAACTTGCGTTTGAGGCCCACATGGAAGCACAGTGCCCGGTTTGATAGAACTGACTCTCATAACTACCTTCTGCCTTCCATACATGTGCCATGCATGCACTCTTGCACATAGTTGTGTATACACACCATATACACAGATGCAGATATGGTTCTAATTAGAAAAGATTTCTCCGTCCTGAAGGTGTGAAGTCCAAGTTGCGTGACAGCAGACCTGACATCTGCTGACAGCTGTCCTCAGGTCCCCAGAGTCTACTTATGGCTGCCCAAACGTCCACGGGAGTGAGGCATCCACTGGTACAGGTGTACCTCCCAGGTGCCGGATCCTTAAAGAAAACTGCCAATCCCTAGCAAGCCTCAGCTGTCATAGTGGCCTAGCTAGGAGTAGGGGCTTATGGGTCCCTCCACTCTAAATGTCCGTGTGTGGCTTAATATTGTGCAAGTCTTGTGAAAGTAATCATGGCCTGTGAGCTCATGAGTGCAGTGGTCTTGTCAAGTCCAGAAGACAGTGTCTCACCCCAGCCCTCTCCGACCTCTGACTCTTACCATCTCTGCCCCTCTTCTGTGATGTCCCTGGCAGAAGGAGGTGTGACACAGAGGTCCCATTTATGGGTGAGTAAGGTCTGGGACTTTCCCAAAGACACAGCTGTGCTCCTTTAGCTGTCAAGACTACTGAGGCAATGATCCTCAAGGAACTGGCATCTCATACAGGAAAAAGGAAAGGAATGAAGCCTGATGACAGCCAAAGGAGAACCTTGTCTCCCAAAAAGAGAGTTCACAAAGTTCTGACAACTTGTCAGACCACCGAGGCAGAGCTGAGACAGTGACGGGTCAGCGATGGATGAAACCACACCTAGACCAAGACTGTGCGTGTGCACACACACACACACACACACACACACACACACACACCACACACACACACACACACACACACACCTTGCTGCTTAAGCCTCGTGTCAGGACCACAAAGCTGGAGGCCTTCTTAAAGCCCCATGTTCGCACACGACCACTTGTGGTGTATCTCCTTGTCCAGTGGGTGTTCTGTGTGACTCAGTGAGTCTAAGACAGCCAGTACTGCTAAGACAGTCTCCTGAGCCAAGAGGCATTTCAGCTATTTGACTTTGATGCACATAAAAAATTTCCTCTGTTGGGTCAATGCGGAGAATCCTCCTTGAATATAGACAGAAGGACAGTATCATTGTGAGGGGTTTTAGGCCTACTTTTTCTTGTTGCTTTTGGAACCAAGCATCCAAGCTTGAAGTATAGGAAGAGGACCTGAGGTGGAGGCTGGCCCAGTCTGACAGGCGTGGACTTCGGTTGCTGCTGCCGCCCCCGTGTGACAGACAAGCCATAGTGCTGCTGCTTTTACAAATACATTCTCCTCACCTGTTCACTAGCTTCTCTGTTGTGAACACAGAAGGAACCAGTTGGTGTGTAGCTCTCAGTAAGGTTCCGTCAGGGTAAGCTCACTGAGACCCAGGGACACATGTGCAGAGATAACCCGGGTCAAAGCCTTGAGCGCTGGCGTCGGCAGACTGGGTGCCATGTGGATGCCATGAGGCCTAGACCCTCTGGTGGATGCCCCTTTAGAGCTGAGGCACCCACAGATGCTGGTGAGGACAGGGGCTGCTGTGTAGGGGGAAGAAACTACCAGGGCCACCCTTCACTCCTCAGGTCACCAGAGACACCTCACTGGTGTCACCTCAGGCACCTGCTGGGGTGAGAGGAACCCACACTGGAAGGGGAAAGGCCCAGAGACTGTTCCTCTGAGACACCGCAGCCCTGCCAACGTGCCTGAGCCGCACATGAGGGCCGATCCCCAAGGCAGGGCTTGCCAAGGCGCTAAGCAGAATGCTGAAGAGCGAAGATCCCACAAGCCAATCCCCTGAGCCCTAGATGTCTTGAGAAGAATGGGAGGCAAGTCCCGGACTAGATGAGGCCCTTTACTAGTGCCTCTCCGGCTACCTCTGACACTCAGCGAAGGAAAGGCACAGCTGTGCTGGGAGGAAGGGTAAGGATTTAAGCATGAGAAACGTGACACTGTAAACCCCAGAAAAACCACTAAGAACTTGTAAGCGCTGAAAGAGATATATCAACATTATCACACAAGCGGGATAATTATAAACACTCAACTTACTCAAAGCAAAACAGAAAATAAAATACATTATGCCAAAAATTCTGAAACATCCTTTTATTTTTACCTTTCCTCTAGCACTGAGCTTTCCATCAGGCTCCTCGGTGGTGCCGGCCTTTCTTCCAGCAGCTTATTCCTCTGTTGACGGGCCTCATGGCCTGCTATCTCCCTCATCAAGCCACCCCAGCGTCCTCAGAGGAATTTACGTTAATTTATCAGCACAATGACCAAAATACTGCACAAAAACCAGGGGAGAACAGCTTAAGGAGAGGAGAGTTTGTTCTGCTTCATTTCAGTGTGAGGAGAGTACGGAGTGACGCAGTAGAGCAGTTCAAACCGCAGAGGCCAAGAAGCAGAGAGAAGCAATGCTGACTCTCACCTGGTTCGAAGGCCCTCAGCCCCAGGGGTAACGTGGCCATGTCCCAGAGTGAGTCTTCCCTTTGGCTAAACCCCTCTGAATTGTACCCACAAACACAAGCAGGGGTGTTCCTCCATTTCCGGGGTGGCTCTCCCCTCAAATAGGCACCTTTCCAGACACTTAGAAAGGATCCTGTACACGCCAGCCAGTGGGAGATTTTCTGATACAGAACCACAGGCTAGAATTATCTTCTGTCCTCCACTGTCACAGATGTTCTCAACAAAGTATTTAAAAAAAAAAAAAAAAAAAAAAAAAAAAGGATTTTCTGTAGTTGGTACCACCAGTGTGGTTTTTCCAGCCACAAGAGTCCCCAAGATTCTTTCTGGCAAAAGTTTAATTGGGAGTGTCACCGCCCATGGGGATCTAATCAACAGCAGATAACAGGAGCATAACCGAGAGCAGGCTCACACCACCTCACTGAGCTATACAGACGTTGGCCAGGGGAAGCTAAAACAGGAGGCAGAGTCCATCTTCTACTGGTTTTCCTAAGATGTTATGGGGTGTTGTGTTTTTGCTGGTGGTGATGGTAATAGCTTTTGTTGGTTGTTTTCTTTTTAGTGAGAGGCTGCAATCACTTGTGTAATCACACTTCTGTTTCCTTCTAATTATGGGAAGGTGTTGCCAATATTTGGGGGACGAGTCGGCCATCCACACAATGGCACACTGAAAATAATGCTACGCTTGGGTTACACAATTCAAAAGCACAACACAACCAGGAAGCCATCTAGAGCCAGCAGAGTCGGGCAAAGGATGGAGGCCACTGTCAACCACTGTGACTATCTACGACTCAGAGACTGAGACACAAGAAGATCCAAAGAGAGGAATACTGATTCTAACTTAAGAAACCTATCAACAGTATCCATCTTAAACCTTCCAGACCAATTACTGAGCCCAGTGTCTTCCCCCACTCCCTCATCTGCAATCAAGTCATGAGTTTTATGAAGCTGCAGAGAGGAGATTCCAGACCTTTGTTTAACATGGGTTGGCTAAACACCCACTTACTCAGAGGCACTGTGCCAATGACATAAACATGCCCTCTATCAACCCATTTTCAGAGCCCTCCCTCTGCCAAGCCGTGGAGGCTACTACTATGTTCCTCTGTCTCTGCAGCTGCCCACTGCTTCTTGTGATTCGGTGGCCAGGGTGACAGGGATAAAGACCCACTGCCATCTGGTGGAGAGAAACCAGGCAACCACAGCAGCACTTGACCGAGTCAGCATGTGTGTGCTGCATGTGCCTGCTGCGCACCTGCATGTACCTGCTGCATGTACCTGCTACATACATGTAGCCTGCATGTGCGTCTTGTACATTTTCTTGAGTGTCACGTGTACATATTCACAGACACAGGCCTGAGCAAGCTTGTCTTCACAGCCAAGCTTCTACAGATTGAGAGGCCTCTCTGAACTATTCTGTCATTTTTGTGATAAACAAAGTAGCTTGGAGTCAACACTATGAAAAAGAAAGCAAAGATGGATGGGCTGCTGGGGGTAGTTACACAGAAATTGAAAGAGCAAGTCAGAGCATACAGTGACTTGGAAGTAACAATATATCCCCCTGGGATCAGATGTAGGCGGCAGACTTTTTCAGCTACCTTCCAGGCCCAAGACCCTCCAGTTCTGGCTCAGAATGTGCAGAAAGAGCTTTAAGCGTGCTGCCTGCATTCCCTACAGATCTACTGGCGAGACACAGCAGCTTTCCCATGAGATCACCTGTGTGGTCTGACGTGTGCCCTTCCGACCCACAAACTGGGACTTGAACAGAAAGGCAACAGTATCAGCAAAGGGTGCTTTTGGAGGACTGTGCTGCTGCTGGAGAGGGAAAGGGGTACACCAGAACCCTGTCTGTCATGACCTTGCCATGTGAGTATGTGGCTGCGCGGTGCTGCCTTCGAGGCTGACAATAGCCTAAGCAGAACTTTGGATGTCTAGTCTCCCCAGCTGTGAGAAACCAATTTCTAATATTTATAAATTGTTACAACAGCACAAATGAATTAATGCATGCCCTATTACTCCATATTCAAGAAAATTTATTTACTTGATATTATTCCTATATGAAGATGGTTTTTATACTAAAGCATGTGGAAAATGTGTCTGATGCAATTCTATGACTGCCATTCAAATCACACCAAAAGCTCATGTTCAAGAAAACTTGAAAAACAGAAGGCTGGAGGAGGTCATCTCCAAAGTGAGCAATTTTACTTACTTTAGATATATGTACATCATTTGATGCATGGCTAAGAAAATAGTCCATTAAAGTACTTTTTCATAGTGGACTGTTTAAAATCCAGTAACAAATGTGACAGTGTTTTTAAATTCTTCCAAAAATAACTAAAAATACTCTTGGACAAGCTTTCTGGGCTTCCTTGGTATTTCCTTTGAAGTTTAGTATATACTAAAATGTTCACTGTTTCCATTAAAAATAGTGATTTATTTCCTGGGAATACCAAAGTACTCTTCTACTAAAACAAATTATGTACAAAATATACATATTCTATGTACACAAATGCACATGAACACAGGGATAGTAATCCATCCTATAATCGAGTCTTAGGTACCCAACCTTCTCCCGATACTAAATCTTCATTTCTGAAGAAGCAGATGCAGCTGGCTGTGCTCATCTGCCACTGGGGTGGTCCACCACTTCTTCAGGTACTGGATGTCGACAGTGCCAGAGGACCTGGCCAGGACCAGAGCCACAAAGCTGCCGCTGGTCTTCTCGGGTTCCCCCATGATAGTCATGGCCACGAGACTACAGGTGAGAGAGAACAGGAACTGGAAAGTCAGTCCACAAGTATGTGACTTTCTGTTACCTCAATCTTTCAAAATATCTATATTCAAGGGAGATGTGAAATAGAAGAACAAATAAAAACTATTAAAACAAAATACTAGAACAAAAATTATATGAAAGTCTGTTGGAAACAAATATCTGCAACTCAAGGATCTGTTGATCGGCAGCTCAAAGAATGCATAGCTGCAGATGTCTCCACCACTCCCCAGCAGGGCGACATCCCCGCCTGACCTTCCTCCCTCCAGCAGTGGGGCCATTAAACTGCCTCAGCAGGCCTGCCGACCACAGGCAGTGGGGTGAGCCCTCGTGTGGGGGTTTCCCCGTATCTCAGAGCACAGACTCAAGACAGTTGAATAACTGTCAAAGCCTACAAAACCAGCTGAGGCCAGCTCTGAGATGCGGCCTCCCACAGCGGCGCCCCGTGAGCGGGGTCCACCCCATGTGCTCCAGTGAGAGCCAGGCCTGACACCTGCGGCCTCCTCCATGGCACTGTCCCTGCCACGCCAAGCACAAGGCTCCAGCCCACCCGTAGCTCCGCCACCACAACCTGAAGGCAGCCTTGTCCCCACTCAGATCCTCCCAGACCAGCACAAAGTGCCCACCCTTCTGCTCCGGCCCCCTGAGGCTTTCGGCAGACTCTCTAGATGTGAAGTGTTTATGTGGGAACCTCAAGGTGGAGTGACTGGCAGACTGCTGACTGCTTTCTTTCCAGGGCCCATATGCTGCAAAGGCTCTAATCCCTGGAGTTTAGTGGGCCTCCGGCCTCACTTTCCTGTGTTTTGGGATGATGGGCATGAGCCACCATGCTCAGATAGTGACATATTTTTTTGTTTCCTTTTAAGACAAGGTCTGGCTAGGTAGCCCAAACTGGTCAGGAAGTCCCTATAAGCCCAGGCTGGCTTCAAATTTATAATCTTCCTGCCCCAGATTCTCAAACAGGATTACACATATGCCACCATAGTCAGTTCTCTTGGTGGATATTTAGTTAGAATAATGCCAATTTGCCTACCATTAGAACTAAATAAATGGGATTCTTAATTTTTTTCAGATCATATCAATATATATGCATATACATATGCATATACCTTACATTCTATCAAACTGTTAATCTGCTTTTGGTCACTTTTATACTCCTCTTTACTTTTAGGGAAACAATGTAGCTTCTTCCTAAGTTGTCTGATCAACAAAGGAGAGAAGAAAGGGGTAAGGCAGGGGACATGGGGAGGGAAAGCTAAAACTAAGGTCAACTTGAGGAATCCACATGCCCTCACTAATACAGCAGAAACTTCTTTAAATACATACATATATGAAGGAAATATAAACTGCAGTCACTAAGGAAAGAGGGAGACAGAGCCCCAACCAGACACCTCTTCACACCAGAGGAAATGTCCGGTGCCCTGATCGGGTTACATCTGAACAGGCTTCTGTGTCCACACACGGATGCTAAGACCCAACTGCTGCAGACAACATCTGCACACCTCACTGAATGTGGGGAAGTCAGGCTGGCGCCCACGTCGAGACTCCAGCCCTAGGACTTGGTGTTCAGGGCACTGGAAGGAACTCTGCACGCGACAGAGACAAGCCCTGCACTCCACAATGGTGACCATCTTCAAGATACACTGGGGCAATGGTGCACGAAAGTCACAGGAGTGACCAACCACTCTGAGTAGAATTCAGACTCACTCCATGAAATGGAACCTGGCCCTCCCACTGTCTAGGTGGCCAAGAACCTCAAACTGGGCAGGCTAGGGACCTAGGGAAATATCAACTACCACCAATCTGCTAAGGGAACATTGCAAGAAAAAAACAAAAACTCTAATGACATTCTGCTACAGCCACAGACCAGTGTCTTGCTCAGCTATCGTCAGAGAAGCTTCCTCCTGCAATAGATGGGAAGAAATACAGAGACCCACAGTTGGACAAGGTACAGAGAGTGAGAGACCTTGGAACACTCAGTCCTAACTGGGATGTCTCTGTCAGATCCCTCCCCTCAGGGCTCAGGAAAGCCTATGGAAGAGGAGGCAGGAAGAGTGTAAGGGCCAGTGGGGATTGAGGACAGCCAGGAAACAAAGCCTTTGGGGCATAACAGGACTGAAGCAGGTTTCGTTCATCTACAGGTGGAGAGGGTGCTTGGGGACTGGGGCCTTGGGTGCAGAGAGCTACAGGGTCTGACAAGTCCGATTCCATGACTTACGTCTCACATGGCCTGTCACCTAAGAAACCTGGAGGAAGAGGCTGTAGATCCCTCAGACACGGGCGGACCTGTAAGTCTCTCAGACGCCCCTCCAGAATAGCGGCAATAGGGACTGCTGCACTGCTCTCTACCCACTGCGCTGAGGTTAGACACGAGACAGCTGCCTTTTCAAGTGATCGTCACAGTTCTGCTAAAGTGAGCACTGAGAACGAAGCCGGCGTAAAATGGACTAGGATAGCCATGGCGTGTCAGTATGGTACAACTGTAACAGAGGACTCTTGGACGGAGATGATGGCAGTGAGGGGGTGACAGCTGGGGGTCAGAGGACACACGAGAGCTCTGTGTATCTTTCTATTTGGTTACCTTAAAAAGTAAGCTACCCTTAAAAAGCGTTTTTTACTATATAATCTATAAAAGTACTGTTAAATTTAAACTTAAACATGTGATTTAAGAAAGAGCAGAGATGATAGAGCGATGGGTCCTGAACTCACCTGTCTGGAAAGATGGGCTGCTGGGCCACAGGACCCAGGTCATTCTCGAGAAGGTCCCAGACATAGATATTGGATGCATCATCCTGGACTAAGAACACAGCAGGTCTCGTCGGAGACCACTGCAGGTCAGTAACAGAGTGGCCACTGGTGCTGCTGTCCCATTGTAGGACAGGCTTCTCAGACCTCAGCTGGTGTAGCCTGATGCTTCCATCTGAACAGCCAGCCTGCAATGGGGTGTGGAAATCCTATGTTTTTCTTTCTTTTTAAATTAAATCTCAACACCCAGGAAAAAATTTCAGAGTACTAGCTTTCTTTGTCTGTACAAAAAAACCATTTTGGCCTGCTCTTGTTTTCTGAACATAAAGACATGTCATTAAAAGCAGACTGGTGGGCACTCTCCCTGGAAACTGACACGAGCCATCACATAAATGAGTGTCTAAGAGCTGAGTGCCACGGACTCCAGCATGGGGTGCAGGGGCTGGCTTCACAAGCAGAAGGTCATCTCTTTTTATTCACTTTACATCCTTGCTGTAGCTCCATCCCTCCTCCCCTCCCATCCCCACCCTCCCTCTCCTCCTCCCCCTCTCCCATCAACCCCAGCTCATCAAGCTGCATCAGGACTGAGCGTGTCCTCTTCACCTCGTTATACAGTTTTATTTGTTCTGACAGCATGGTTTTGTGTTCCCTTTGAACTGAAATTCTCAAAAAAAAAAAACTTCAGTAATTTAGTGAAAGACCAATTATTAGCCTATGCAGTGAAGATTAATTCTTCCTTAATCTTTAATCCTTTCTATACTCAAAAAAGATATACAATATACTTGTATAAAATTCTAAAACAATAATATATCAACTAAAATGTCAAATCAAATTCTAAAGTAAAATACAAACCAAGACATATTTTAAAGCCTAATTTCATATAAACAGCAAAGTCATACAAGAAAGAGGCACAAGAACTAAGCAAAAGGTCTCTGAACACACCATCTTGGTGTACAACTTCTGACTCAGACACAAAGGGCATCATGAGTGCTGAAAACTGGCTTCTCTATGTGAGGCCTCAAGAGCTCTGTGTCTTAGAGCTGCACACCTAGCCAGTCAGACGGTGAGCTGAAAACTGGCTTCTCTATGTGCGGCCTCGAGAGCTCTGTGTCTTAGAGCTGCACACCTAGCCAGTCAGACAGAGCCATTGCTACGGTCTGAGTGGCGCTTCTCCCAACTGATGCATGTGATACACAGTCCTCAAATAGCAATGTTGAGAGGCGGGGTGACTTTTAAGGGATGGCGTCCGGGGGAAGGTAACTAGCTCAGGGGCTTGTGGCCCTCAGAACGGACTGATGACTAGTTTGTGGGGCTGGATTAGTTTCTACAGAGCTGACTGACCACAGGTGTCTTCCCATTAAATTCTAAGCACCCTGCAAATGAACAAAGTATTTCTTAAGAGAGTTAAATTTCTGAGTCAATTTGATTTAGTTTTCTGTTAATAATATTCCATGTTTCATTTTTAGATCACTGAAGCCCAATAAATGGTTAATTTGTAGACTACTAAGAGACCAAAACTTTCTAAATTTTCTACTGGATTGCAAATAATATCACTGAAAAGTGACTTTCTTACCAAGAATACTGTTTCTTCAAATGGTGAAAAATCAATCACATTAACTTTTATTGGTCTGAAACCACGTTGCTGAGGTTTGAACATCTTGGGAGATACTCTCCAGTCTTGTCTGGTACTGTGGCTTATAAATCCCTAATTATTACAAGAACACCGAGAATGGTCAAAAAAAAGTATTAGATAAACAATTGGACAAAACAATTAAGGCATTATAACAAAAGCAGACAGTAAATTAATCTGACACAAAGATAATTATCAGATAATTCTAGGTGGGAAGGATGAAATGTAAAACACTACTAACCATGTTGGTGCCAACAACAAAGTGATTAGGATCCGAAGGCAGGAATTTGACACTCAGTGTTTGTGTGCACCCCCACACTTCACTATCTTTACGGGAAAGACTGAAAAACAAACAGCGGAGGAGAACACGTGGCTTTTCACCGTGTGGATGGCAACAGCCACACTCACTTAGTACTGCCATCCGCCCTCCGATGAGGGGCCAGTCAGTTCACACTGCCTTGCAACTTCAGCTATTCTGCTTCCTATATCTTTTTCTGGTATTGCATGCTCGATCATTTCTGCAGCTCCAACTGTTTACTGATCCTTTTGTCAAGAATGTTGAATCTACTATCTACCCACTCACGGGTTGAAGTTTTGGAAATTCTGAAAGCATTTTCAGACTGTACACTTGCTCACAGTCTGGTGCTGAGAGACAAAGCAAGTCAGTAGAAGACTGATGAGGTCCACAGTGATGGAGAACCCACCAGTGCTGGTTAATCCTACTTCTGTTGGCCCATGCTTCCAGCTCCTGCACAGCTGTGATCTTCTGCAGATGGCTGTGGAAATCTGATAAGTCCCAGCTTCCCAGAAGGCAGCTGTACTTGTGCCTCAAGGGCCCTGGGACTCTGATCTTCACATCCCAAATTCAAGGTCCCCAGCCCACCTCTATCTTGAGGTTTCAAGTTCTTCCAAGTACCCATTTTCCATCAACTAGGGGTAAAGCTTTCTACATCTCCCCCACACTAAAGGGGCAGTGGATTCTGGAATAGTGCAGGGGTCTCAGTTTTAAGTCTCCACCTTGGGCAATCCCAGAACACCTACGACTATACAGGGGTTGAGCCACAGGCTTATGGTAAAGGCCTAATCATCTGGCTGACCTCCAAATTTCCAAGTCTACTCTTCAATTCACATGTACTTCTGCACACCCATGTGGTTTTTCATACAGGCTGTTACCCCGGCACGCCCTTGTAACTAAGCATTCAAGTATAAGCACCTATGAGGCTATTCTGATCAAACCACCACACATACACCCTCAAAAAGCTCCATTTCGCACTGGACACAACCCATCCCACCTTCAAGCTTCCATATGCATTTGCTCATGCTTACAACACATCACTCAGTCCGGACTGCCACTCCAGCCTAGTCAAGGGAGGGAGACAACGGATTCAAAGCTCTCATAATCCAGTCTGCCTTCACTCATCCTGTCCAAGAGATCTTGCAAAAACACAGCTATGAGTTTTGAAGGGGAACATGGCATGAAATACATTAGCTATTTCACTTTGAAGAGTACACGGTTGAGTCCTGGAGGAACTACATACAATGCATGGAGGGAAGTGAGGAAGTCTAGGGCAGGGAGGGCCTTACAGATGCTCTGCAGATGTGCGCAGCACGGATCAGTGTACCGGTTGATCCTGTTTTTGTATTGAGGTGCACTGTTCGCAGAACAGCATGTATGTCTGGCTCTATAACGTATGTTTGGCTCTGATGACTTTGATTCATTGTCATAATTCTATTTCAGTCAAGTGATTTGAAATCTGTTAGTATATCTGTATTCACTGAATTCTGTGTGATCAAAAGGACACAGGTTCAAAGATTTTTCAAGGGTAATTCACATGGTAACAGTGAATACAGACATGAGTAATATCTGTAATGAGTAATACAGCCTTGAGTAAATAAAGGAATATATGACTTTGGAAACCAATATGGAATATATAAATACTATTACTACTGAAGCATTCATTAAGAATTGCAGCTTCATATTAAGTTCTATGAGTAAAAGCACAAATATAGTTTTGTTTGTTGGTTGGTATTTCTATTTGCTTATTTATTTGAAACAGGTTCTCATACAGCCCAAATTGGTCTCAAACTCTGTATGGAGTTAAGGCTAGCCTGGAACTCTTGATCCTCGTGCTTTTATCTACTTAATTCAAGGATTACTAGTATATACTATGCCTATCTAGGAATGTAAATTTATGAATAAAATTTACTTCAGTGTTTCCAGTTCCTGAAACTTGATTTGATCAAGTTAAACTAACTTTAAGTCTAAATTAAAATTGGATGAAGCCAGGTGTGATGGCACATGCCTTTAATCCCAGCACTTGGGAGGCACAGACAAGTGGATCTCTATTGACTTGGAAGTCAGTCTGGTCTACAAAGCAAGTCCAGGACAGCCAGGGCTACACAGAGATACCCTGTCTTGAAAAACCAAACCAAATCAAACCAAAACAAACCAAAAAAACTGGATGAAAAACAGTCAGGTAAGGAGCGCAGGGGCTTTCTCTGGTCACCTCCCCTTGGGTGGTGCAGCCTTGCCAGGCCACAGAGGAAGATGATGCAGCCAGCCTTGATGAGGCTAGGGTCAAAGAGAAGGGGAGGTAGACCTCTCCTATCAGTGGACTAGGGGAGGGGTATAGGGGTAGAAGAGGGAGGAAGGGTAGGATTGGGAAGAGATAAGGGAAGGGGCCATAGCCAGGATACAAATGGAATAAACTGTAATAAATGATAATAATAAAAAACGTTTAAAAAAAGAAAAACAGGTAGTATGAGCTTATAAGCTAAAAACATTTTATGAATACATATCAGCTCTATATCCAAAACTGTATTTGTTACATTGTTACATTTGTTACTAATAGTTCATATAGCAAAAACTGACTGTAAGAACCTGTGTCCTCAATGCAAAATCAGAACATGCATTTCATAGGAAGCAAAGTCTTTCTGGGGTGAGGGAAGTGGCTTCATCCCCAGAGGGGGTCTCACCTGATGCCCAACTGGATCACAGCACTGTGCACCAATTTGATCCTCCCTCCAGGTATCAATCCTAGACCAGACAAACCGGAAACACACACACCTTAATGTAAGCTAAACCACAGTCTACCCACAGTTGTCTAGGTTCATTTTTTTTTTCTTGTTAAAGCATCTATAACTAGAAGGAATGCTAAAATATAACCAACAGGCAGGACTCCCTCTAACTGTTGAGGTACCTGTGCCTTGGCTAAAGAGGAGAGTCAAAATTTTGCAGGTCAAAATCAGAAATTCATGGGGCCACAGTCCAGCTGCTCACACATTTCAGACTGGTGAGAATAGTGCATCCCGTGCACTGAGTTCAAAATGCCAAACCCTGTGCTGTAAATACCCAAGGCGCCTGTCATTCAAAGCCATCACTGGAAACCCTCCAGATTTTGCTGACTGGCTGACTAGCGTCGCTTCCTCAGCTTCTCTACTTTTCGCTCCTGCACCATGGAACTACAGTTCCCAGGCCTGGCTTTATTTTCCATTCCTTCCTTGTTCTCAGATTTGGATGCTTCAGTTGCATACCGTCTCTACTAAATGTCTGTCCTAATGCTGGTCTCTTCTTTTTGTATATTACTGCAGAGGGAAGAATTTGTGTGTGTTGAAACCCATATTCTAGGCTGGGTGTTATCCAGAACCTTGAAGGCAATTGAATTAAAAGCACTCAGGAGTTTCTTCAGCTCACTGCTAGGAAGGGCAGCTACACATGACTGCCTGCCCGTCTCTCAGGACCACCTTACAGTGCTCCTGTCATGGAGGTAATCAGATCAGGCCTGCTGCTGGTCTCAAACACAGCCACAAAAGAACTGATTCGAATGGCTCCTCAACAAGAGCGATCAGCTCTTGCTTGGTGAAGAGCCTTCTGACTGAGGACCCGGAGCTAAGCCAGTGTCAATCTCAGATTTTTTTCCTTTTTTTTTTTTTCCAGTTCTATCTGGGGATAGACCCTTGACACAAATAAGATGAGAGGGGACTTTGTCATTAAAGAATTATCAGCTGGAATTCAGGGTAAAAAAGCTCAGTTTGAAATGTATAAAAACTACACCACAAAATTCAATTGGACTGAACTGTCTGAGGCCTCTTGAAACTGAAAGTTATAACAAGTAGCACTGAAAACAGAAAACCACAGAAGACTTTAGCGTGTTTCATAGCTCTCCTGCTCTACAGGGGACACTATAGCATACTGTGTCATCACCCACACCAAGTAGTCTGAGGAGAGCCACACTTGACACACTCATGTGCACTGGGTAAATCCATAACTACAGAAAAAGCCCAAAATGAAGAACTTAAGACCCAGAAACCTGAAGTATACTGAAAACAAACAAATAAACAAACAAACAAAAAACCCAAAAACCAAAAAAAAAAAAAAAAAAAAAACAATGAAGAAGACAGTTGCCTTAAGGTATGTCAACAGGGCAGAATGAATGCCAGCGATGAAGAGAACTTACAGCACCCACAGAGAGAAACATGTAATTAGACCTCTAGCTAATGAGATGCCCATCCAATAGTTGATAAGGTATACAACATACAACTCTGATGTGCATTTTTCAGGTTGTTAATTACTTATTTTTTCAAAGCAGGTATTGGTTTCTTAAGTCTCTGTTCATTTTAGCAAACAATAATTAATATTAATTTTTACTTCAATAGTTACCTAAATCACTCATTGAACCTGAGATATCTGCTTTTGGTAACTCAACAACCACCTAAAAACAGAATATTAAAAAAATTAATACTGATAAATTTTGTAACTAGAAACAACCTAAGCAAAGCATAGCTATAACAAAATAACATGCTATATTAGATCCTAAAAATATAACTCCTTCATGAAAAGACTAGTCATTTGCTTTAGAATAACTTAAACTTATTCATCATTTTATCTTAGTATTTGCTCTGCTCAGTGACCTCATCTGCATCCCTGTAAAAGTCCTAGATGTCCTCTAGTGTCAATGTCTTGTTACGATTTTCCTACACATTCCCAAAGGTCAAAGGCCTTCACAGAACAGATGGTCTTACTGTCTTGTTCTGCTCTGTCCCCGATGCATTCCCCAGGCCATGTGCCATTCTCCTCCCTGGTGGTTTCATTCAGCTGTATGTATGGCCCCACACTTCCTACTCACCCACATGTTGAGAACCCCACTCTCATCCAGGGAAGCGATGTGAAATGACAAACCCGCCATTTCTAATGAAAGCAGAAACAAAATGAAAGGAAGTAGCTTTAATAAGGATAAAGCTTTACACAACCATTGCTTGAAGGATTTTATGGGTGTGAGGGATCCTATACCTTCTTGAGTAGAAATGGGTGAAAGCACAAAACTCTGCTTTTTGTAGACAGATGTGGCAACTGGCTCAATGGCTTGAAGAGGACTTCGGTGGTTCACTGATGTTAGGATTCCATCTAGAGAGTGAAAGCCCAGAGCACCCACTGTAAGTAACACCTTAGCAATGCAATCAGCATTTATGTGGAAAAATATGGGGTGTTTCCAGGTCTAAAGACCCGAATCTCTCCACATACATCTCTCCTAAAGTCACAAGACTAATACAGGCCACACATCAAGAGCCAGGACCAGAATTTTCAGCATCTCTAGCAAATAGAGACTACAAAGACTAAGAAGAAAAACAAGAAATGAACACCAATCCTGTGCCATTAAAAAGCTGCTTCATCACTGAGGAAATAGATGTACAGGGCTAGAAGGGAGGTCAACATGCTGCCTGACCAAGAGCACTGTGAAGATGAGAAACTCAAGCAGGCACTCCAGAAAAGAAGACATGATTCTTAGGACAGAATCCTCCAAACAGGCTGGAAGGTGCAGTGCACAGACTGGGAACACAGCAGTGCCGGCGAACATGAGACCAAGCAGCTTAAACAGGCACAAATCCACCACAGGAGAAGCATCTGGGAATCGGAGGTTCAAACTCCATATACAGATAGCTACAGCAGGATGAAATTAAAGAAATCAAAGTACTTCAGGCGTGACTCTTCCCCCTCTGCCCCTCCCCATGGCTGAGAAAAGCACAAAGCAAGACAGTCCAAGAGAACAAAATTTCTGCAAACTGCTTTCAGAAATATACTTAAACAACAAACAAAACCCACCTGAAATCAAACCCCCGTACAGAAATTGAAAGAAAAACCAAGTTTGAGGTTAGGAAGAAGCTAATGAGAACACAATGGAGAGATGTCACAGAGCTCCCAGTGGGAGATGCACACAGGATGCAAAGGATCCACAGGTAGGTGCAGCCCTTCTAAACAGCAGCTCCACACTGTCGCACGCTGAAGCTCCGCTCATGATGCTCAGATGGCAAAGGGAAAGGGAGTGTTTCCATAGCGATGTATTTGCATGAGTTGCATCCTTTGTACTCATCTATGGATTCAACAACCACAGCTAGAAATACCTGGAGGAATAACTGTCCTGTACAGAACAGGAGTAGACTTTTCTTGCCATTGTTCCCTCACCACTGAGCACATGCCATCTACACAGTGCCCAGAGATGACCTCAAGTACAAAGAGAGCATGCCTCAGTTATAGCATGCTTTATCACTTTATATAAAAGAAGCATTTGAAGGAAGGGGAGGCCAGACCCACCTCCTGCCAATATCATGTATGGTTTAAAAATGCAGAACTTTCAAAAACGCCGGATTCATATGTATTAGCAGTTGGAAAATGCCATGTTTTAAAAGGTATCTTTTGGGTCGTGGGATGGTTAGTGTTAATTGTCAATTTAACACAATCTAGAACCACCTGAGTCTCACTGAGGATGATCTAGGTCAGGCTGGCCTATGGGTGTCCCCGTGGGGGACTGTCTTCATTACATCAACTGACAGTGAATGGGCACCATCCCTGGGCTGAACCCAGATTTAAGAAAAGGAGAGCTTAAGCTGGGCTGTGGCACGTGTGCATCTATTGCTTTCTTCAGACTGCGGACACAGCGTGACCATTTCCTGCCACTGCAGCTTCCCTGCTTTGATGGACTATAACCTAGACTGTGAGCCAAGTAACTACTTTCTTCTTTAAGGTGAATTTCTCAGGGTATTTTATTATAGCGTCAGTAAAGAAAACTTAAGAGCCCAAGTCATATAACAAATTTTGTATGTTCTTTTCTCTGTTGGAAAAAAGATACCTTTTATAATAGCATCAAAATCCATATGGTACCTATCATTGCAAACATTCTCCATAGCAACATCTCCCCAAAAGGGCAAAAACTGGTTAGTAAAGAAATAAAAGGTAGCTTGCTCTTTTTATGTGTAAAGTACAAATATAAATATGGTACAGAGAGAAGAAACATAACTGTGATGTTAAAAGTGATTGGCTTAAAAATGCTTCAAAGCTTTCCTTAGTTAAAAGAATAAAAAGAAGTACAGAATAGAAGAAATACTCACAAAACTCTTACCTCCTAAAAGCCTTTTATCAAAATATATAAAACTCAACTACCAGAAAACAAGCAACTTCGAAGTGGGCCAAAGACTTGAACAGGAGTTTCCCAAAGAAGACTCACAGATGGCAGATGAGCATGGAAAGTCACACCATAAAGACTACTCCAACTACAGCAACGGTCATGCTGAGTGCTGGGGAGGGTCGTAAGTAGCAGCAGGACTTACTGATTGCCTGTGAGGATGCAGATGGCATAGCTACTTTCAAAAACAGTTGCCAGTTTTTCACTGAGCAATCTAAGAATCAAGTTCTTTGGTGGTTTTACATGTTGCTATGACAAAATATCTAACAAAAGTAACTTAGGAACTTAGGCACACATCTCCATGACCGAGTCCCTCCCATCAGGGAAGCCATGGCAACAGGGACTGTGATGTTTGTCACATTTTATCTGCTGTCAGGAAGTAGAGGAAGAGAGAGCAAGGTTCAAACTGTCTGCTTTCTCTCATATATGCAACCTGAGCCCCAGCCAATGGAATTGTGTCACCCACAGTGAAGCCTTCCCATCTCAACCAATGAGGAGACACTCTCTCACAGACATGCCCACAGGGTAACCTAACCTACATAATCCCCCAAGGGTTATCTCATAAGCAACTGTAGAGCCAGTCAAGTTAAAAATCACTATTAGCCATTGTATTTGGTATTTACCCAGAGGAGGTGAAAACAAGTCCACACCAAAGCCTGCACACAGGCTTGGCAGGTCCCTCCCGGCAAACCCAGCAGTGCTGAGGTCTGCCTAGTGTCACCCACATGCCATTTCCCAGGCCCCAGCTCTGTCTGAAATCAGACAGACTGGCAGCCATCAGGGACTACCAGGTGATACTCCTCCCCCAATCTGCTGCTCACTGAGTTCCTCCAGGCAAACCCAGCAGTGCTGAAGTCTTTCCCTGGGCCCTCCAAGTGACATTTATCAGGCCCCAAATCTGGCTGCAATCCCAGAGGTCAACAGCCAGCAGGGACCACCAGGCCTGGCAACAGCAGAGACAACCAGATGGCTAAAGGTCAGCATAAAAACACACTGAACAAAGCCTAGGCCAATAAGGCACCACCAGAACTCAGCTATCCTAATACAGCAAGCCCTGGAGAGAAAGAAAATTACCTTAAATCTAATCTTTTGAAGATGATAAAGGCCTTTAAACAGGAAATGAATAGACCCCTCAAAGAAACACAGAAAAATACAACCAAACAGGTGAAGAAAATTAATAAACCCCTTAATGAAACAGGAAAATACAAGCAAACAGGAGAAAGAAATGAATAAAACTGTTTAAGACCTGAAAATGGAAATGGGAGCAATAAAGAAAACCCAAACAGAGGCAGTCCTGGAGATGGAAAACAGGAATTACAAACAAAAGCATCACCAACAGAACACAAGACATAGCACAGAAGATATGATTAAGACATTGATACACTGGTCAAAGAAAATGCTAAATCTATAAAGTTCCTGACCCAAAACATCCAGGAAATTTGGGACACTAAAGACCAAAACTAAGAATAATAGGGATAGAAGAAAGAGAAGATTCCCAGCTCATAGACCCAGAAAATATCTTCAACGAAATCATAAAAAAAAAAAAAAAAAAAATGTTCCTAACCTAAAGAGATGCCTACAAATGTACAAGAAGCTTACAGAACATCAAATAGATATATCACATGGAAACTGAACAACTCTCTACTCAATGATAGCTGGGTCAGGGAGGAAATAAGGACATTAAAGACTTTCTAGAATTCAATGAAAATGAAGGCACAATATATCCAAACTTATGGGACACAATGAAATCAGCGCTATGAGAAAAGTTCATAGCACTAAGTGCCTTCATAAAGAAACTGGAGAGATCTCATACTAGCAACTTAACAGCACATCTGAGAGCTCTAGAACAAAAAGAAGCAAACCTACCAGAGGAGCAGATGGCTGGAAATAATCAAACTCAGGTCTGAAATCAATACCTTAGAAACAAAGAGAACAACACACACACACACACACACACACACACACACACACACACACACACA